GTTGGAAGGGAGGGGGTGACCATCCTTGCACAAGAAAAACAGAGGACTGACAGAGTCCAGGCATGATTGAAGGTGTCAGTCTGAGGTATGTGGAGTAGCTAGGGGCAAAATATCCTCAAATTTAATTCACTGGGCATGGGTAACAGACTATTTGAGTCTTCTGGTGGGGAAGATGAGAGCTAGATTTTAGTAATGGTAATGTTGGAAGGGAGGGGGTGACCATCCTTGCACAAGAAAAACAGAGGACTGACAGAGTCCAGGCATGATTGAAGGTGTCAGTCTGAGGTATGTGGAGTAGCTAGGGGCAAAATATCCTCAAATTTAATTCACTGGGCATGGGTAACAGACTATTTGAGTCTTCTGGTGGGGAAGATGAGAGCTAGATTTTAGTAATGGTAATGTTTATGGAGGCAAACGGGCCTGTTTTGCCAGGGCCTGATGCAGGACAGTGGTCCAGGTGAGGTCACCCTATTACACGTGTTACTGGTTGACCTTCTCTTTCTTGTATTTCCTTGTCTTTTTCTTTGGAGGACAGAAAGAAATCTGTGGCAACGGTTAGCATGGGAAACTGAATGCTAGCACTGCATACTATTGTGACCCAGAGTCTCATATTCTGTGGCTACACAAGTACAAGGATACGAGATCAGTCTTACTTGAAATTCAGATTACAGCCGTGAAAAAAAATTAGAGGGACCAATGGTCTTAGCCCACATAAGAATAATGACATACATTTTCAAATCGACTGCTTAAAGTTAGGCATCAGAATAACCAACTTGCTTTTCATATTCCTTGTAGCTCCAGTGGAAGTCACAGGATGCTCTGATTTCACAGTATTCCTGGGCATTTAGCCACTTATTTAGGTGCATAACCATGGATTTAAGAGCCTAGCTTTGGACACTCAAATTTAAAACATTTAGCTTTGGAATATAAAGAAAATAATAAGAACCTGGTGGTGTTGTTGTTTTTCAGAAACATCATAGAGCCAGCTAAGAGAACACAGATTAGAAACCTAGGAGTGGTCTCATGTGCTATTCTACTATGAACAGAGACTGCAATAGGATGCTGTGGGGCTCTACATTTGGGGTATGTCTAGACTACATGTCTCTGCCAACAGAGGCATGTAAACTAGGCTACCCGACATATTCAAAGAAGCTGGGATTTAAATATCCCCGGCTTCATTAAAATAAACATGGCCTCCATGCTGTGCCAGCTCAGCTGATCGTCGGCACAGCATGCACGTCAAGACGCGGATCGGTCGACAGGGGAAGCTTTTGTCGACCACTCCTTTATACCTTGTGAAACGAGGTTCACAGGAATGGTTGACAAAGGCTTCCCCTGTCAACTGAACTGCATCTTGACGTGCACACTGTGCCGACGATCAGCTGAGCCAGCACAGCGCAGCAGCCATGTTTATTTTAATGAAGCCGGGGATATTTAAATCCCGGCTTCTTTGACTATGTCGGGTAGCCTAGTTTACATACCTCTGTCGGTAGAGGCATGTAGTCTAGATATCCTTACTATCTATTGTAACAGGGTTGGCCATCATCTGAGCATATTTTGATGGCCAGAGCTTGCTTTGCAACATCCTACTTCTGTTTCCTTCTCTTTACTGCCCCTTAAAAATGACACACTTCTCTCTGGATTAAACACTACCCCCTGCCTAGGACCAGGTTAGTAGCAGCCACAGTTCTTTTCTGTGTTAATTCCACCCCTGCCTGGGGCCAGTGTAATAACAAAAATAGCTCTTAACAGACCACAGGGTCCCAAAATAAAGTCCCTCATCACCTCAAAGTGTGTGTAACTACACTTCACTGGTGCCTTCTCTCACAGCCAGAGCTTGCTCTTCTGTCCCAGTCTGTTCCTACAGCCCATCCTCCCAGCTCTTCCTTACTGGAGCTTAGCCTTGGGCACCAACTTATAGCACCTCATCTTTGAGCTGAAACTTCATTTGGGTTTCCCCATAGGAGCCTCCTGCTTCCTAGGCAACTCTTTGACACAGCTCCCTTGATCTCAGGGTCTCCCCTACAGAAGTCCTTCACACTCTCTGTAGTCTCTACAATTGCCTGATCTCTCCCCACTTCATTGCAAACTGCAGCTGCTGTTTTTAAAGGAGTAATCACACATCTTTTTTCAGGTGTTGGCTAACGCCCCCGTTACATTTATCTGTGGTTTCCAGATCATACATTTTCATTTTATGAGTATAAAGATGGCTTGCCAAGCTTACAGCCCTG